CGTGCGCTCGGGGCGCGCGGCGGTTTTCCCGTCTGTCGAAGCGCCCTCGGGGGGGCCTGCGCGCTGCCCTCCCCGCTGCTCGTCGCGACGCCCGTGCGGGACCCGCGCGGCGTCGCCCTGCTCGTCGCGACGTCCGTGCGGGACCCGCGGGGCGTCGCCCCTGCTCGTCGCGACGTCCGTGCGGGACCCGCGCGGCGCCGCCCTACTTGTCGCGACGTCCGTGCGGGACCCGAGGGGCGTCGCCCCTGCTCGTCGCGGCGTCCGTGCAGGACCCGCGGGGCGCCGTCAGAGCCAGCAGCAACCGCCGCCAGAGCCTACAGCAGCGGCCGCCACCACCCAGCAGCAGCAGCCGCCGCCAGGCCTGCAGCAGCTGCCGCCACCGCGCCTGCAGCAGCAGCTGCCGCCGCTCTGCAGCAGCAGCCGCCGCTCTACCAGCAGCAGCAGCCGCCGCCGCTCTGCAGCAGCAGCCGCCGCCGCCCAGCAGCAGCAGCTGCCGCCAGAGCCTGCAGCAGCAGCCCCTGGAGCCGCCACTGCAGCAGCAGCCCCAGGAGCAGCCGCCCCAACGGCAGCAGCCCCTGCAACGGCCACCCCTGCAGCAGCAGCCCCTGGAGCCGCCACTGCAGCAGCAGCCCATGGAGCAGCCGCCCCAGCAGCAGCCGCCCCAGCAGCAGCCGCCCCAGCAGCAGCAGCCCCTGGAGCCGCCACTGCAGCAGCAGCCCCAGGTGCAGCCGCCCCAGCAGACGCCGCCCCTGGACCCGGTATGCCCTGTGCTGCCTGCTGCCTGTGCTGCCCGTGCCTGTGCTGCCCGTGCCTGTGCTGCCTGTGCCTATTGCTGCCCGTGCCTGTGCTGCCCTGTGCTGCCTGTGCCTGTTGCTGCCTGTGCCTGTTGCTGCCCGTGCCTGTGCTGCCCTGTGCTGCCCGTGCCTGTGCTGCCCGTGCTTGTGCTGCCTGTGCCTGTGCTGCCCGTGCCTGTGCTGCCCGTGCCTGTGCTGCCCGTGCCTGTGCTGCCCGTGCCTGCTGCTGCCCGTGCCTGTGCTGCCCTGTGCTGCCTGTGCCTGTGCTGCCCGTGCCTGTGCTGCCCGTGCCTGTGCTGCCTGTGCCTGTTGCTGCCCGTGCCTGTGCTGCCCTGTGCTGCCTGTGCCTGTTGCTGCCTGTGCCTGTTGCTGCCCGTGCCTGTGCTGCCCTGTGCTGCCCGTGCCTGTGCTGCCCGTGCTTGTGCTGCCTGTTCCTGTTGCTGCCCGTGCCTGTGCTGCCCTGTGCTGCCCGTGCCTGTTGCTGCCTGTGCCTGTGCTGCCCGTGCCTGTGCTGCCCGTGCCTGTGCTGCCCGTGCCTGCTGCTGCCCGTGCCTGTGCTGCCCTGTGCTGCCTGTGCCTGTGCTGCCCGTGCCTGTGCTGCCCTGTGCCTGTGCTGCCCGTGCCTGTGCTGCCTGTGCCTGTTGCTGCCCGTGCCTGTGCTGCCCTGTGCTGCCTGTGCCTGTTGGTGCCTGTGCCTGTGCTCCCCGTGCCTGTGCTGCCCGTGCCTGTGCTGCCCGTGCCTGTGCTGCCTGTGCCTGTTGCTGCCCGTGCCTGTGCTGCCCTGTGCTGCCCGTGCCTGTGCTGCCCTGTGCTGCATGTGCCTGGTGCTGCTCGTGCCTCGTCCTTGCGCCCTCGTGCGCTCTGCTACTGTCTGCGCCCTCGTGCGCACTGTTTCTGCTCTCCCCCCCCCCCCCGTTTGCGGGTATGGGGGTGGCTGGTGTGCATTCCTCCCTTTGCTCCTCCTCCTCCTTCGTCTCCCACTGCTGCAGCTGTCGCTGAGGGGGGTGGTTGTGTGGGAGACTGGGGTTTAGGGTTTAAGGGGCGTGCGTGGGGGTGGAGCTAGCGGTGTAGCAGCGGGTGTGTGTCAGGGGGGTGGGACTGTTTGGGGAAGCTGCATGGAAGTTGCCGTACTGTAGTCCGCAGCACCTGTAGTCCGGGGCGCTGTCCCGGTAGCCCAGTGAGCTAGACTTCTACGCCAGCCGCCTGTGGGTCCGTTGCCCGTCCGCCGCTATTTGAGCCGCGGGGCCTGTTACTCCTGTAGTCCGGGCGCTGTCCGGTAGCCGCTGTGCCAGTCTGCCTCCTGTTGCCCGTGTGTCTGCAGCTTCAGCCGTCGCCTCCTATCTCCTCTCCCCTCACTCTCTCACCTCCTCCTCACTTGCCCGTTGTGACTACCACCAGCTTTGCTCATAATTCTTAACTTTAAACTATTGTTTCTTTAACTTGTGCTCAGAATGTGTGGTGACATTGTGATCCACCCTGAGCTTGTACTGCTTTGCCTGCTCTGCTGATTACACCCCACTTTGGCTATGGGGGTGTGTCAGAATGTTATTTGTCTAGCCTGCAGTGGGGTGCTCAATACTGAGCACAACCCCTTAGGGTTTTCTATTTGTGTGTCCTGCTGCTTGCTAGTCCATCATTCCTTCCTTCCAATTCTCCTTCCCAAACCCTAAGTCCTAGTTCTAAAGCACCTTGCCTACCTCCTAGTGTGGGCCTAGGCTACTAAGCCTAGGCCCCACCTCCTACTATTCTAACAGGATGTGTGCATGATGGCGAACACCGATCTCCTGCAGCATTGCTCTTATTTGGGGAAAACATTGAGTGCGGTGTATACCGGTAAGAGTGTGTGTGCACCACCGTAGTCAAGACAAATTCAGAATTCATATTGAGTTGCACTCTACCAACTGTTTGTAACAAGATCACTTAAAAGCAGTTGCTTCCTTGGAAGTTGGTGGGGCTCCAAACCAGCCTTTTTTTTTTTAAAATAATTATTACCGTATACGATACATCAATAGCCAAGAATGATCCATCCATCCACTCAAATTTCAGCCCATCTTACGGTAAGGCCAGCATGGAGGCCTTCGGGTCCCTTCCCCCACTGGGACGGCTTTAAAGCCACACGAGGACCCTCGGTCCCCTTCCTCCCCAAGGGGACGGCTCTCAGGCCACACGAGGACCCTCGGTCCCCTTCCCCCCCTGGGGGACGGCTCTCAGGCCACACGAGGACCCTCGGTCCCCTTCCCCCCCTGGGGGACGGCTCTCAGGCCACACGGGGACCCTCGGTCCCCTTCCCCCCCTGGGGGACGGCTCTCAGGCCACACGGGGACCCTCGGTCCCCTTCCCCCCCTGGGGGACGGCTCTCAGGCCACACGGGGACCCTCGGTCCCCTTCCCCCCCTGGGGGACGGCTCTCAGGCCACACGGGGACCCTCGGTCCCCTTCCCCCCCTGGGGGACGGCTCTCAGGCCATACGGGGACCCTCGGTCCCCTTCCCCCCCTGGGGGACGGCTCTCAGGCCACACGGGGACCCTCGGTCCCCTTCCCCCCCTGGGGGACGGCTCTCAGGCCACACGGGGACCCTTGGTCCCCTTCCCTCCCTGGGGGACGGCTCTCAGGCCACACGGGGACCCTCGGTCCCCTTCCCCCCCTGGGGGACGGCTCTCAGGCCACACGGGGACCCTCGATTTCATCTTTCCGTTCAAGGGCCTCCTTAGGTGTGCGTGTAGTTGATCGTGTCGTCGGTGCGATTTCCCAGCGCGACGAGCAGGGTCCCACTTCTTATAAACTTATTTCCCCAATCGTGGCGTTGAGCTCGTGTTTCTGCCATGAAGGGATTCACGGGGCATAGAGATTAATCGAGAGAAAACGCAGGTGACATGTTGAAAAACACTAATAATTAAAAAAAAGGAAATGAAATGCACTTGTAGCACTTATATGCAACTTATATGCACTGGCGCCAGTGGCGATTTCGTCCTTGGCGCGCGCCACTGGCGCCAGTGGCGTTTTCGTCCTTGGCGCGCGCCACTGGCGCCAGTGGCGATTTCGTCCTTGGCGCGCGCCACTGGCGCCAGTGGCGATTTCGTCCTTGGCGCGCGCCAATGGCGCCAGTGGCGATTTCGTCCTTGGCGCGCGCCACTGGCGCCAGTGGCGATTTCGTCGCTGGCGCGTGCCACTTGCGCGAGTGGCAGAAGCAATTTCGTCCTTGGCGCGCCAGTTGCAGTTTCTCCGGCGCACTTCGATCTCAGTTAGGCGCACGCAAAGTACAGTCGCAGGCGTGATTATGTCGCCCTTCTAGGTGCACATGCAAGGGAGTCGGGCATGTGGCAGTTGGTTGATGTTTCCTAGTACTAAAGCACCTACTAGTGGGAGGGGAACTTCAGTGGTGGTTGGACGAGAATGAGTGGAACTGCAAAGTTCCGAAATGAAGTCGTGGGTGGAGGCCGAATGGCCTCCAACCCTCGTTATATACTCGGCGAATTGTAATTCGCCGTTGCTTTGCTTCGTTACAGGTAGCTGCGCTTTCACAATACGCATTTTTAGAAAGTGTTACACACTTACGAAAAAATTCATTTTCCAGTAGCGCGATCTCATATGGGCGTGACCCTATATGAGCGCGCCTGATTGGACGCGCAAAGTCAGAAAAAACCCCGCGCATAAAGTCGACCAATCAAACGCGCTCTGTAATTGGTCGCGCGTGTGGACAGTTGTGCAACTGAGTATATGATCGGGAATTCATATCTCTATGCGCGGATTGGTCAAGAATTGGACCGAAAATGAGCGCGACTGTTCGCCCAAGATGATCGTGTTGATTATTGTCGTGTTTTCGAACGGTGACGTGGCCGCCCTCGCGCACGTCACCCAGCCGAAAATTTCGGGCGGAAAATCACACGCCACGTTTTTGCGGGAAGAGACACGAACGATGTAAGAAAAGCAGGGCTAAAAACCGGTTTTGGGTAATGTGCCGGATAAAAAAAAGCCAGAGGAAACCTCTGGCAAGACCACTCGAGCAATTATCATCGAATTGTCCGACCACGGTAGCAATTCGAGGCGACGTGTGCAACGGCAAATCACCGTTTCCGGGTCTGGAGAAATTCTCTCAAAAATTTGCCCTGCTCATGACTGAAGCTCCCAAAACGCTTCATTGATGATCATAAACATCCCGCCAGCCTACAGGCACAGCTGCTGTCAGTAATCATGAAGGATTATCAACCTATAACCTGCTCTCCTGAAGCGACCAAAACACTTCATTAGCCACTCTTGTACCCGTGTCCAGCGCCCCTTGCATGCACGGGTTCACACCGAAGTGCGTGGCCTCCCCAGCAAAGAAGAGCTTCCCAGCCACAGGCACCGCCAGCTGGTCCCTTGCATCCCCTGCTCCAATCGTTGGATGCGTGTAGGCGCCACGGATATAAACGTCCTTGGACCAGTCAGCGAAGCAGCCTGAAATGAAGCATGCAGAAGCTGGGTGGCAGGAGGTGCAGAGAGGAGGGGTAGCAGCAGCAGCAGCAGCAGCAGCAGCAGCAGCAGCAGCAGCAGCAGGGCACGAGGGGCCAGTACTCCTGCTGCTGCTGGGTGGTTCCATTGATGCTGCTGGCACGACAAAGGTGCCAACACTGCTGTCTGAAGCACCATTTGGTAGTGCCTGTAGCTGCAGCCCATGCGCCTGGCAGCCCCCACTCAACCCGCTTGCGTCCTTTCCATGAGACTTTTCCGGGCAGGTCTGAGTTACCCTGATACTGTCCGGCCCTGGTTTGCAGGTGGAGCACGGGCGGCCAAACATGGCGTCTAGCTGCTCCAGAGCGCGGGAAATCACCAGTTGGGGCGGCAGCCTCGCCATGGCTTCCGCTGCATCGCCTGCTGCGAATCCGACTGCGAGGAACTGACCCATGGGGACCGAGGGAGGGGGGACAGCTGCAGCTATAGGCGCAGCAGGAGTGGAGGTGGAGGGTGTGGTGGGGAGGGAAGAGGGCGAGCGGCGGGTGAACCATACTTCGGGCAGAAAGGAGTCGGTGCAGACTATGTCAAAGAGGTGGGTGGGCCACACTCGGCTAGAGAAGGCCATGAGCACCTGGAGGGAGGAGGGTGGGGAGAGAAGAAGACAAAGCGAAAGTGAGAGGTGGGGATTGACCGAAAGAGGAGGAGAAGAGTGGGAGAAGAGAGGACAAAGGGAGTCGAGAAGCAGGAAGGACAGAGGGGTTTGATCAAAAGAATGATGCTTGCAAGGTTGTCACACACCCTGCTTCATACCATGCTCACGGTATCTAATGGCACCTGCTTGGCTACGTGCTCTTTGCATGCCCCTCACATGCCCCTTACATGACCCTCACATGACCCTCACATGCCCCTCACATGACCCTCACATGCCCCTCACATGCCCCTCACATGCCCCTCACATGACCCTCACATGCCCCTCACATAGCTCTCCCTACAGACTAACCCCATCCTCTCCTCACCATCACAGCGCATCCCCTGCGCACAGTTCCAATGCCCGCTGCTTGGCACATGCCTTATGCATTTCTTCTACACGCCTCTCCCACCACCTTAATCCACCGTACTTTCACCATCACGGCGCATCACAGTTCCAATGCCCCCCTGCTTGGCTGCGTGCTTACTCCTGCCACTCACAAGCCTTCACATCTCTTCCACATGCCTCTCCCACCATCCTACTCCAATGTACTCTCACCTTCACGACACCCCTCTCAACCTAACTGCACCCCTCTCGCCTTCACGGCACACCCCATGCGCACAGCACCTATCGCCCGCTGCTTGGCTGTATGCATCTCAAATCTTCCACACAACATTCCAACCTTACTCACCTTCACTGCACCCCTCTCACCTTCACTGCACCCCTCTCACCTTCACAGCACCCCTCTCACCTTCACAGCACCCCTCTCACCTTCACAGCACCCCTCTCACCTTCACTGCACCCCTCTCACCTTCACAGCACCCCTCTCACCTTCACTGCACCCCTCTCACCTTCACTGCACCCCTCTCACCTTCACTGCACCCCTCTCACCTTCACAGCACCCCTCTCACCTTCACGGCACACCCCATGCGCACAGCGCCTATCGCTTGGTGCTTGGCCGCATGCTCCTCAAACATGGATTTCATAGCATCAAAAATTTTCTCACCTTCACAGCACACCCAATGCGCACCGCTCCTATCGCCCGCTGCTTGGGTGCAAGCGTCTGACACATGTATCACATCCCCCATACAGCCCCCCTATCCCATCCCCCTCTCACCTTCACGGCACACCCCATGCGCACCGCTCCTATCGCCCGCTGCTTGGGTGCTGGGAGGGGCGGGTCAAAGCGGATATCCCCCGCTTGCAGCACAGGCTGGTGGTGCAGAGTGGTGGAGTGTTGTGAAAGGGAGTGCAGGAGAAAGTGAACGGGGGTTAAAGTGAGCGGGGAAGAAGGGGAATGGGGGAGAAGGGGAGTGGGGGAGAAAGGGAGTGGGGGAGAAGGGGAGTGCGAGAGAAGTGGATTGGAGGACAACAGGAGTGGGGGAGCCGTAGTGGGGGAGAAAAGGATTGTAGGAGAAGGGAATTTGGTGAGAAAGAAAATGGGGAAGTGGTGGAGAGCAGTTGAGAGGCACGAGGAGCAAGGGTTGGGTGGCATGAAAGGCATTAAGGGGCTTTCAAGGGGCACTCACGAGAGGGACAGTGATGACGACACGTTTCGCCTGAAGCTGCTCGCCGTGCTTGCTGG